TTGTGCACCTTGTAGAATCAGAGGTGCTAATTTTGACATTGGTTGTTGCGATTGGTGATTTACGGATTGTTCATTCGAGATGTTGTGATTAGACGTATACCTTCGTTCTTGCTGAAGCCGTGATGTGGTTTTTGGCTTCTTGCGAACCGCACCGTCATCTGGAGGTGTGTCCTCCATGACTGTAGTTCGTGCGAGCAAAATTACACGTTTTCCCTGATAAATTAGGAGGAAATTTAGGGTTTGTAATAGATTTAATACAATATTTTCACTACTTCACGTAATAGAGAATAGTTAATTAGCAAACACGTCTTGTCGGCGCCTCGCAAAAAATTTTTTTCATCAGTCGTGTATATATACAAAAGGATACATAGAAAGGAATGGAGTGGTGTGTAGGCAATGGAATAATAAGCAGTACAAAAAGAAGAGGAAGGAATGGAGTGATGTATGTGCCACGAAATGCTAAACAATGAAAGAATAAGGAATTTATGTTAAGGACGATTTCTGACATAATAGCCATCTGTCAGAAAAACATGAAAACTACACAATAATAGAACTTTTTTGGATTGAATCAAGCCTTAATTGGTCCTAGTTCGAGTGTACCCAAGCCTTTACTTATCCACCCTAAGGTAGTCTCGAGCCTACCCAGGCCTAATGGCTCCGCCGCCTATAGTACATGAGGAATGTTGGTACCCAAAACTGCTGGCTGCGGCCATCGCAAAATATCGGTTCGCGGAAGTGTTGTTTGCGGAAACGTCGGTGTATCGGAAACGCCTAAACACATGAGGCTGAGATGATATTTTTTGTTTGGTTATTGTATTCTGGGTGGGATTCCTAACAAGTTGGGAGATGTAATTGATTTAGTGATAAGAATTATTATTTGACCTTTGCTTCCTCATCGGAAAAGCTTAATTTAAGCTCGGTACTCGATTTAATTTACTCATGTGTTCTAAGTTTTCATGGCTTTAATGTAAACGTGATTAGGTAGTTGTGTGGTTGAATGACCTCATGACATTTTTAGATCTTTATGTTTTTTTCTTGTTTTCTTGTAGTTCCTTTTTGACACTTTGATAGTTATTTCCATTAGCTTTTGATGATACGTTTTTTATTCTGATCAATTTTTTTATTATGAATTGTTTATTTGGTTGCCAGGCTAAGCTAGAAAAAATGTCGAGACTATCAGAAAAAAAACTTTCAGCCAATTATCGAGGTCAAAAGACCGCTCAGTAAGTTTCACACGAATTCAGCTGCTTTAACATCATATAAGATAGTCTAGATTATGCATATTAGGAAACTAGTTCTATGGAGTTACATCTAAAAGCATCTGTTTTGACGTTAACAATATCAAAAATGAAAACGTACCCTCCTAGTTGAACAAAAAGTTTCAATCAACTGATTGCACCATTTACAAATTCTTCCTCATGAATCAAGGGGTGTTTGTTTACCTTTGAAGGAAATTCTTATATACAGATTACAACTGGTCATAACATTATTTTGAATTGCTGGCATTTCAACTTTTCTTTCAAAGCCTAATGAGAAATGTCTCATTTTCTAGCACTCCTATGCTTATTAGCAACATCTTCACGGTTTGTATCCCTTTCCAAGGAATTTTTGTTTCTTAACTATACAAAATAGTTTTCGCGTTTCCCAGTCAGAACTCGATCTTTTTTTTTCACGTTAAGTTTTAGCCAACATTTCTTTTTTGCTTTATGTAATGATGATCGTTCTCGCATCTCCATTCATTGCTGATATGTACAATATTGAAGTATATTATGTCTGTGTATGTGCGGTAATTGAACGTTGATAATCTGTTTTTTTTCTTTCATTTTTTCTAGCTCGGTTCCACATCGTTGATATATGCAAACCTACAGTGCATTCTTTCTCGTTTCATCCTCAATAAACCGAATAATTTATCCTCTCCCTCTTTTTCTCCATTTGTTTTTTTGCTTTGCAGAGCCGTTCAATTTTCTCTCTTTCTTTCTCTTTGTAACAACACTTGTTCTCTGTTCAATTCTATTCTTTTAGACTGGGCTATACACTGTAAAATAGACTTGTCTAATGTTATACATACTCAAAATGCTGATGCAAGGAATTCTTTTAAAAATTAACATACGTTAAAATTAATAACATCCGCAAGCAAATTAAAATCACTAAATTTTTTTTTTTCTGATATTACTACGACGCATTTTCCAAATAAGAACTATAAAATGGCTATCGAATATTGCGAATTAGCAATCGAAACCGATTTAAAATCATTGACTGAAGATCATCCAGATTTTGTAGAAACATTTAACAGTATAGGATATGCTTACTATGAAGTGAAGAATTTTGAAAGGGCATTAGAATATGTGAAAAATCATCACACATTGAATTAAGTCGTCGGAGACGATTAAATCCACCGTTACTTTTAGAAATATATGCATACAATTAAAACCATAATTGTATAAATATTTTTTTGTTTCACATTTCAATGGTATATCAGACCATTTTCTATCTGAATTATTAGAATGAACAAATTCACCAAATACAGCAGTATTTTTTCATCAAGTATAACACATCTAATAAGACAGTATATATTATATTCAATATGAATTGAATATATCATTATTGGTTTATTTAATTCGAATTGATAACAAATCCATAATTGTTTTGGGCAAACAAATGTTGGATTGTATATAACTTTCGATGCTCTATACGATGAAAGTATTGGATTTTTTGGGGCTCTTATGTCTGTATAAAGTGGGCGGAGCTGAATAGAAGGACCGTCTTAGAAATTGTTCGGCTATTAATATGCTTCATGCTGAAAAATAGACCTTTTTTTGTAAAGCCCTAAGTAACATTCTCACAAAAATTGCTGTTCAAATGCCGCAAATATATCACATTAAATTATTTTTTTGTCTATGAACTTCTTTCATGTATAAATAAATCTTTTCTTTCTGTCAACGGTGGACATCATTTCTATTTGTCTATTGAATTAACTGGTCAAACAAAAGACCAGGATAGTTACAAACACACAGACAAGTAAACATTACTTTTTTCTAAACCCTTCCTTCCAGTAAGGGAATTTAGTGGTTAAGATACTGTCTGACAGATGTAATATTTATTATGGTTAGACAATTGAATCGTTTAATAGACCAACTAGCCATAGTGGAAGTAAACAGATATTATTTGTTACATAAACCTATACGTTTGAACAGAAGAATAAAAAAAGATAGAATGAATAAATGTCACTTTTTAATGGAAATTATGCGGATAGTAAGTATATTTCCCAGTTGAATTAAGCTATACATTCATCGACAAATGATACAATCCATTTCGTTAGATATTGCGATAGTTGTATATTACGTAATACAATGAAAGAGTATGTAAATGAAGTGTCGTCAATCTATCACAAGAATGTGGACATTTATGACTATTTCACGGATTTTGGCAGGTATATTTGTTATTATGCATTCATGAGATACATCCAAAGAAATGATATGTTTCGAAACTTTTCACTTTCACTGTAGGAAAATTTTTTTTAAAAACAATATTATCATAATAGAACCTGTTAAAAAGTATCGTACACTCTCTGATCAGATCTCTTCATCCAACTTGTCGCAGTAACACGAAAAAGACTTTGTTCATTACAATTTTATTTTATTCGTCAGTAAATTCTTTTAAACACTATGCTGACAAATCACATGAAAATAAAAAATGATTAGTAAAATATCTGACGCGTTACAGAAATGTGGTTTCTAAAAATTTAAAACATCATTACTGTTGTTATTGTCACGAATCGGGTGTAATTTTCCACTAAAAAACAAAACTGGTTACTGGAGAACATTGCTTCAATTTTCACTTACTATTTTATATTCTTCTCTTTTTTGTTTAAAAAGTTCAACTATTTGGATGAAGTCATCGAATTTCATCAATTCTTTCAGATCAGAATGATATCGAACATATCGCATGACAGAATATAATTCTATTATTGAACCAGCGGCAACTTGATTTTGTAATTCGCCTTGAATGAGATTCACTGCGCCATCCAGTGAAACGTTTCCAGACGACATAATCTTTTGAAGAACTTTTAGTAGATATTTGTGAATAAAATGACTAATTTTAGATTTCATTTTCCTGCTTGTTTCACATGTTTTTTTTATTGCGTCTTTCCGTTCTTCTGAATTGGGTTTCATAAGAACAGTTGAATGGTAACCGACGATTGGCTTTTCACTTTCAGACATTGATGATGACGATAGCGATGATTTGATCGAGCTTTTTGATATAACCATTGCTGTTTCTATTTTTTGCTCTGGCGAAAATGAATCTAGTAAGAGACAAAATAAAGAGAAAATTTTTAGCAATATCAACACTAATAGACCTCCAGTTACCGTTTGCTGAGGTACTAGATGAATCGCTATGTCTTTTACTCATTGAAGTAGCCATATGCGGTGCATCGCCAATGGCTTGAAAATTGGATTCTAAAATAAAATTCTCATTCATTATGAATACATGTTAATATTTCAAAATAGTTACTGGGTATAAATTCATCTCGTTTCTGAAGCTTTAATATCTCTAATCGATCAGCGAGTAAACTAATACTGACCGATTTCAACCCCTCATGGGTCAACTCATTTATTAGACTTTTGGTCATTGCATTTTTCACAAAAATATCGGCAAATTGTTTTGCTTTTTGATCGGTAATATCCACAGAGCGAAATAATTTGTACCATTCTTCTTTACTAAACATAAAAAATCATATTTCTTTCAAAATCTGTGCTCCCAAAACTCACCTCAAGGCCATTATTTGTGGAAATAAATAGATGAGAAGAAATGTAAATTAGCTTTGTCTAGAAGAACATAGTATTTATTCAACTTCCATCACTCTTCGTAACAAGAATACAGTGTCCAAGAGAAAGTTATGCATAAAAGAGCTGATAAATTCCACGGCTGACGGAGATTATGAAGTAGAAAATCAAAGAAAAACGAAAGTGCTACGTTATTGGCAGTGGATAAAATAGCAACAATTATAGACCGTATCTAACGAAACTTCAATAACCTTTTCTTGACAATACCAGTAAAGTCAGGATACCAGCTTGTCGCACAAACCGTTAAGTCTTGTTCATACGGTAGAGTTCTACTGCGTTCCCTTTCATCCCACGCCCTCCACGGTTAGTTAAATTAAATTTTGAACTTAATTTAACCTACATTCACTATCATATGTGCATCAAAATACAATACGATGAGCTATCTGATTACCTCGCTATATAATCTGCGAATAAGTTGCATTTTTAGAGACTCCTTTAACTAAAGGCTTCGTAAGTTCTAAGCTCGAGTTCTACTATCTATATTAACAAATGACCCCGTTCAGATTTACGATCAGACTATCTTGATCACTAAAGAAATAAACAAGTCCTGTATGTATATAGTTGCCAAAATGGCAACTATAGTTGCCATTTTGGAATTACTGAACTGGTCTAAATGTATTGGCTAAAAACTAAACAAATAGGAACCGAGAAAAATATTAAGCAGAAGTGCATAGCAGTATTTAATATTAAGCAGGTACTCAACTTCTAAAACAGAATTACAACTTTTATTGAATTTTTTCTTTTTTAGACATTTATCAATATAGCTAGATGTCACTAGATGCCTGTTCTGATCATGTTAAATTCTGAGAATTGATCTACCAACGCTTAGACATTCTTTATCGCTTGGTACTTCTACACAGGTAAAATACTTTGATGAAGATAAGTACAATGAATCAATTGTAAAATGACGAAATCACTATTGTTAAAAAAAGTAGTTTTTCATGAAGTGCCTTATACAACGCGCTCGTCACTAAGTATCGTCTTTCTTGGTGGGTTCGTACTGTTTCAGTCAGACAAGATATCGACACTCTTTTATTCTTCTCCTAAGAATCTATATTTTATATATGTTATCAGGAAGCCATTCAGATGTTGCGTAGTCAATAGAAGGGACATGTTTGGAGGGTATTTTTGTTAATCTATTTAAATAACGAAATATATTATAGCCACATATTTGATTTAAAAGCGTATCATCCTTCTGTTCAAAAACGTTGTATTGTATATGAATCGATGCAGAATTGTCTGCTCTACAAAATGAAAGATTTATTTTTGGACTGCTATATGAGCGGTCTGTATCGAAAGAAATATTTAAAATATGGAATATTTTAGTTTTGTATTTTTAAGTCCTATGAGAGAACCTTTCGAGGTGGTAAATCGCTTTTCGACTCCGACTATTTTCATCACGTAGGGAATAGTGTGCAGTGAAAAAACAGTTCATAGCTCAGAAACGTCGGATATAAATATTTTCGGTTCTCTTCATGGATAGATAGTCTAGAGTGTCCTCTTCCAAATAGGAGTCAAGTGAGGCTCTCATCTTCGATCATTTGGGCGTGGCATCAGATTTGCTGGGAGCTCCAGGACTGCTTTTCTGTTAATTGGAGTAATCTTAAGAACCATTGGTACGTAGGTTTTCGACCACGCCAACGACGGAACCTTTCGTGGTAGTAAATCGCTTTTCGACTCCGACTATTTTCAAGTTTTTTCAAAAAGCTCAATTTTGTTGGTGAATCTTTGATTTCTCGGCCAAACAGAATTTGATTAAGTTCATATCATCATTGCAACTAGTAGTCTTAGCGGCCATAACGATCTGGAAGTTTGAGCTTTACTACTCATCGGCTCTGCGAAATATAAGAATTCTAAAACTTTTTGACTAAATGGACGCTCGACGTCCACAACTGCTCCGTGATGGAAGCCCCGATCCAGCTAATATCTTGAGTATAGACTTATGCTCCCCTTGCCTAAATATGACAAACGTTTGAGCTCTTTCGCTCTTTCCTAATGCAAGATACGAAACTTACTCTTTCTTGTGAAGTATGTTTATTTTTCTTGAGTAATTGATAAGAGAGAAATATGAATATGAAGAAAATCTTAATTTCATTGTTTATATTCTGATTCATTTTCAGTCAAGAGAATAGTAAGAGAAAACGTTCCAATGGGTGATAGCAATAAAGAAGAAGTAAATTATTTTCTTATTTCGCTTCTTTGTTTTCCCGAAGTATTTAAGAAATATCAACTTAGTTTTATAATGGATTAATCACCTTGAGAACCAAGCATTTTATTATCGATTTGAAAGTTAATAAAATCAGTTTCTATGTCAGCACTATTCGTTTTAGAAATATACACTTAAAACTATTTCCACTCGCAGACAATAAATAAATCGTTCGTTAGCAAGTGTTCTTTCTCGCACTAAAAGTATTTTAGTTGATATATTCATTACTTTATCATATATAGTATCAAATGAATTTTGAGTATTTGCTGTTTCATTTTAAACAGTATTTATTAACACATAGACAAGTAACAAAGATACCCTACACATCGATTCTTATATAAGAAACCTGTAAGAATATTATAGGAAACTGATAAGTTTCCTATAAGAAACTGATAAGATTCTTATAAGAATCTTATCAGTTTCTTACATAAGATTGTTTAAGATTTCCC